TTAAATGCATACACAGATCTCTTGGCTTTGCATACAGGGGCTTGCTGCAACAGACAGAACAATGATGCATACAGTATAAAACTTATAGCCCCCAGGGCAGTCATCACCAGATAGTTGCAATGAGATGACAGTGATGACAATCTGCTTTGCCACATTTGTGCATATTACTGAAATAAAATAATTCACTCGGGACACATTTTCTAAAATTTCACAGCAGTTTAATTTCTCTGTAGATTTGTGTGTTTGGTCCAGCAGGTCCACATAGTGGTGTGTGAAAAGTTTATTTTGAGAGCAAGTGACTCACAGTTAAGGAAGCAGACAACAGCCTGCTACACTTTGTTTCAATTCCTCCTCTTCACCATGAGCACACACTGCTAAAACTGTCTTGCTGTCAGACAAGTGACACGCACACAGACAAAATGTGCAAATTTGCCCAACCTCTGCTCAAATGCATGTGAATTCAAGACTTCCTCTTTTGTTGCTTTTTTCTAGACTCAGTTGCATTCCTGTGCATGCATGAGGGAAAAAGAAAAAAGAAGAGAGGTGGATATACAGTATCTATCTGTCAGCCGTTCAGCATGCACATTCATCCATCTGCTCGGCCACTTGTCCATCCAAACACTCGGCAACAAAATGACGCAACCACTCATCCTTCTACATTTCTCCATCATAACAATATCTGTAACTGTAATATTATACATAAATAAGCCCAGAGGAGAATTAACCACCACAAGGCAGCGGGCCCAGATAACATCCCAGGGCGGGTCCTCAGGGCATGTGCCACAGAGCTACAGGCCAGTTGCACTCACTCCAACTGTTATGAAGTCACCTGGAAAACAAATCTGCCTACCTGTATATCAGGATGCTTTTCATAAACAAAAGTTCTGCTTTTAATATTATCATCCCCTACAAGCTAACTAATAAGCTGTTACACCTTGGACTCAACTCCACACTCTGTGACTGGCTGTTAGATTTCCTCACTGGCAGGCTGCTGTCCGTCAGAAGTGGAAATACAACATCAAACTGCATTATGATGAACACTAATACCTGGCAGGGATGTGTTCTCAGCCCCATGCTCTACACACTATTCACATACAACTGTGTTGCCTCTCATAAGGACAACACCATCCTGAAATTTGCTGACAACACAACAGTCACTGGACTTATAACTTGGTGGTGACAAAACTTTGTACAGTAGTAAAGTGGCAGTTTCAGTGAAATGGTGCAAGGAGAACAATCTCACCCTCAACACAGACAAGACCAAGGAAATGACTGTGGACATGAGAAAGGAGAGGAGATCTCATTAGCCGCTGATCATCAGTGGGCTTGTGGTGGAAAGGGTGACCACTTTCAAATTCCGGGGGCGTTTACATCAGTGATGACCTCCCCTGGACACTTAACACCACCTAGCTCCTCAAGAAAGCACAATAGTGACTGTACTTCGTATGGAGGCTGAGGAAATTCAGCATGCCACCAAAGATCCTCAGCAGCTTCTCTAGAAGTATCATTGAGATCATCTTGGCCAGCTGCATCACTGTGTGATATGGGAACAGCACTGCAATGGACCACAAGTGCCTGCAGAGAGTAGTGAAGACTTCTGAGAGGATCATCAGGATGCCATTACCCCCTCTGCAGGACATCTACCACCACAGAGTCCACAGAAGAGCCTGCTCCATTTTTAAGGACTCCACCCAACCCCAACACAGACTGTTCACACTTCTGCCCTTTGGCAACAGGTACAGAAGTGTAAAATGTAGGATGTCTAGACTCAGGGACAGCTTTTACTCAGCAGCTATCAGACTTAAACAGGTCAAATATTCACTGGCCTCAACACAATCCTGAACTATCTCAACACACTGATCCTTTATTCTGCCCTCCCCCAGCCCATACACACACAGACATATCCCTTATCACAACCAAACCAATACAATATATGGTTTGCATAGAGTCTTAAAGACCATAAATCTGTACTACTGCCTTTTGTACTATTATATATTACTGTACATAGTATATAACTATCACTGGAGCTTATAATTGCACATTCCACATTGCACTGATGTTTTCTTTGTATATATCTTTTATTATTGTTATTTTAACTTTTTAGATTTTTCTTACTTTATTTTTTCTAACTTTTAATGGCATTCATAGTGATCGTGGAAGGCAAAGGAAGAATTTCATCGCACAAGGAAATTGTTTCCTTATCGTGCGTATGACAATGAACACTTTTGAACTTGAAGATGCAATTTTATATCAAAGGTCCATGTGTTGTTATTATGGAAGCTCAAGCCTTTGATCCAAACCTGTATTTTTTAAATACCATTTCTTTTGGTATTTTCTGTCTTTTATTCTGAACCCAGAGAAGTGACAGGGTAAAGAAAGCCTCTGAAGCACTGATGGAAAGATAACACCCCTGTTTGTTTTCAGACAAAGGCATACTGCCATCCAGCAATGCTACATTAACCTCAGCACACGGTGTCCTCACCTCTTTGTAGGAGGACATGATCCTCTCGATGGCATCGGCTCCTGAGGCCAAGAGGTTACGCGCGGTGGTGAAGGCCTCTGTCCTCTCACTCACCAGCACATGCGTCTGGCCATCTGCAGTTTCTAGAGGAAGGACAGAGAGAAAAGACAGGGGAGAGAGAGCAAGACAGGTGGTTTAAGACACTGTGACGTGACAGATATAAGCAGAAAAACTTTAACGCTGTTTGCTCTTACAGATATGATTTGCCATGTGAGCCTTTTGACACTATGTTCCCACACATATCCGTGGGTATCAGGGTATTATTGAAATAAGTTCTTTAAATAGCAGAAGTGACACTGGAAAATCAGTACAGTAGTAATGCTGGTCAACTGACAAAATTATACTGCTGCTTTATTTTTGATGCAGCTGGCAGTTACTGTTTTCACACATAATAATCAGCTTTTGCTTGAGGAGGAAGCAGCGGTAGCTCTCAGTTTAGAAATGGGTGAACAGAAAACACAAACCAAGGAAACAAGGGATGATGTCTACAAAACTTGTGAGAGTCTAATAGCCATAACGGATAAAATGGAGCATTTGGAAGTACAGTCCAAGCGAAAAAACCTGATCTTCGAGGGAATCAAGGAGTCAGCTGGAGAAAGCTGGACGGATGCGTAATGCAAGGTGAAGGAAATATTAAAGGATAAACTGCAAATTCATCAAGAAATTGAGATGGAGCGGGCTCACAGAGTCGGGAAACCTTCTGATCGGGGACCGAGGGCGGTGATGGTAAAGTTGATGAAAGAGAAAGATAAGGCACACATACTGCAACAAGCAAAGAAGCTTAAAGGATCTAATATTTATATAAATGAAGATTACACCGAGTCTGTGAGGAAGAGAAGAAGGGAGTTGATACCGATGTTAAGGGAGGCCAGGGCGAGGGGAGACATCGCGTTCCTGCGGTATGACCCACTAGTGACCCGACCTCGGAACCAGAATCCAGGACCTATGACCAGCACGCCGAGGACCAGTATGCCGAGACAAGGAGAGTATGAAGGGGTCGCTGGACCCTCAGCTGTATGAAGAAACACGCAGGTATATTGATATCTGCGAGGGCAGATGAGCGTTGGAACCAACAATTAGCAGGAACCAACAACAAGTATGACCCACATACGGAATGAGGCAAGTGATTTGCTACAGAGGTTAATAGTTTTTGAGGGACTGGATCTGGAA